GAATATGTATTGTTACTGTTGAGCGTAAACATCTACGACCCTCGAAAGAGAGAGGGGAGGGGGGGTGGGGGCAGGAGTGAATGATAGCTCGACATGAATGAAAAAAATGCCATGAAGCCATCTGTATAGCTTCATGGGAACTTCATGGGAACAAATAATAAAGACCACAAAGCATCAATCCCTGGAGTGCTAAGTGCAACAGTCTTCAAGCATGAAGCACATATGCACATATGTATTCAGGGGCAAGAGACACAGAGTATAGTCATGAAGGGACCATGAAGGAACCTTCAAGAAAAGAGAATGCCCTCGGAGAATTCCTCTGGTAACAGAGCGCAGTCTCTGTACGATAAGTTCCAAAAATTTGCCCATGCTCAAAGAGCACAGAGTTCAGCTCACAGGAAGTGGAGACCCCAGGAAAGTACGGTCTGTATCCACAGAGGTCGCGGGGGGAACGAGTCCGGGCCACGACATGCTTCGTGCCTTTAGACTAGAGCCGAAGCCCCAATCTACTGTCTGACTGACCTGGACCGCGGCACTTCCCGGCGTCGGGATAGTGGTGACCACGATGTGCAATGTGGACCCGGGGTGTTGAAGAAGGAAGAAAAAGGGAGACAGAATTGGGGGGGGGTGGTATTTATGCCTTCCCGGTGGCTGCACCTGGGCAGGTGATGGGGGAACTGAGGTGACTTGTCCGTCGCCCAAAAAGGGAAGGAACCTAACCAGGCATCTACGTGACTACTAGGCAGCTTTAGGCAATACATATTTACATATGACTCTTCAATTTTTTTAGACTTTTATCTTATTCTTTCTATTCGTCTTGTAGGGCATCTACCTACTGATATTCACTCTAAATATGTATGATGATAGAGAATTCTATTCATCGTGTCTCATCTGGGCATATGACTCGTCATCACCACATCCTCCTTCTTCTACCCATGGATACTCCAACCTTGGAATTGACTTCTCTAGATGCTCTTAGCTTCGTCCACGGATCTTTGTAGTTTCCCTGAAGTAGCTTGGTACAACTTAAACTCCTGGCAGCTTACTCGCCTTCCTACGGGGTTATAATATGAGTAGACCATGCAGATACAGCTTAGATAGGTGCAAATGACGCCTTTTCGGCAACCTGTGAGCTAAAGATGCTGTCTGGATCGTGATTTGATTGAAATATAGGTAATAAGTGGTTATATATTTACATAGATGTGTAATGCAGATTGTATTCACGGTCACTCTCACTCTCGTTGTTGGGAAATACAGGACCAAATCAATATAGACATATAAAGACAACGATAGCACTTGATACAGGACTACATATATATCTCACTGTCTGAACCCATCAAACCCGGGAATAAGCGTGGGTCGCGCCTCACTGTTCTTGACGGGCGGTTGTCTTCAGATACTAGGGATGCGTTGTTGCCATAATCGTTAGCTTGGTTATTCAAGATCTCGTAGCTGTGGATACCTTGATATGAGACACGAGAAATTGAGAGAGCTCGTGCCATAGCCTTTTTGCTCTTTGGAGGGTTTTTTATATAAAAAAATGAAATAAAAAAAATTGGTGAGGCACCTCGGCGACGTTCCCAGGACATAGATATTCAAAGGAGCCGATCATACCGAGCTCGAGTATAGACTATATCATCGTTATAGACAATGTGTCAATACAAGAAGTACGTTATTGGAGGTGCATATCTGATTAATGGCCGGTGTCATATGATAATCTCGGGTTGAGACACCGGGGGAACAGCTGTTTGATTCTCTCTGCAAAGGCGGGACTTGGCAAGCGTATGTGATGGATGTGTATATATGGTTGGCTTGTGCCTGTGCGGCATTTCAATATAGCTTCGGTGTGTATTTCTTTGGCCTAGAATGAAATCGGGGTGCTTGTACATACAGTGACTACGAGATAAAACCTAGGACAAGAAGGGCCGAAACAGCATTGGGGCTGTACAAGACAAGAGGGCTCCCAGGAGTGGATGGTTTACAATATCTCCATTTTTTTCAATTCCATCATGGTATCTCTAATCAGACCTTCGAATTTTTATACCACTATAAATATCCAATCTATATATATATATCCCAGCCGACCACCAGCTATTCATTGCAGTACCACCTTTATCTAAATTTGTGTAAATTCTTTCCTAAAAGATGATGGATTAAGCTATATAATAAATCATATTATATACTAGTCCCTAGATATAATATTCCTACATAATTTAATCAAAAGTATTGGAAAAAATGAGGGTTTGAAATATAATGGTAAAATTTGATCAAGCAGACATAATCGGGTTCCATAACTCAGTTGGTTAGAGTGCGATGCTAATAACGTCGAAGTCGAGGGTTCGACCCCCTCTGGAACCAGCTTATTTCTTTTTGTCCGAATTTTTCATTTTCCAGAAATTATGGCACCTCTCGAACATAATGGCTAAAAATGACCAGCAGTCATAATCGGTTCCATAACTCAGTTGGTTAGAGTGCGATGCTAATAACGTCGAAGTCGAGGGTTCGACCCCCTCTGGAACCAACTTGTTTCTTTTTTTCCCCTCCCACTAGGAGATGGAAAACATTTAATGCGTATCTCTTTTTTTTTCTAGATCAGGGCACGGAAATTACTCATAATGAACATTCTCCATATTGATACTGGCTAATTATGATATTGTACAGCATATCAAACAACCCAACAAGGATGAGAAATACACATGGACACCCCCATGGGTAATCACAATTGATGAAAAAGAGTGAGCAATCAGCCTGGGTGTGAACAAGGTACGGTCGTCGGGTGAGGGCAAATTATGGTAATGCTACCACTGTCATTGTCTGGTTTTCGGGGTTGGATATCCATAGCACCTTCTGTCATTTCGGGAAACATCACATAGTATTACTGTGTCGCAGGGTTGACCAGCAGATTCATCTGGGGTTGATCAACAGGTTGGTGAGATTTAGTTCGCATCAGTAGTCAAGTAGTATGCATGAAACATGTGGTCGTCTTCCGGGATGGTTCCTTCGGATGGAACAGTCTGCTCCATTGAAAGCCAGCCATTGTGGGCTGCATTGCTTTCATGCTCCTCTTCGTAGTGGCTGTCATAGAAAGGATGCATCGAGGGGGCTTGCAGAGGGTTGAATCGATACCCAGCCTTGTCAAAATTGTCATATGGAGTGTATGAATCACCAAGATCAGGAAGGTACGGAGGGGGCCCGTATCCAAAGTCGTCAGGGTTAGTGCGATTGACAAATGGAGACTGCCAATCGTGGGGGCCAATTCGGCCCTGGGGGTTCAGAATAGGCTCGATGTTTTCCTTGTCAACGGGTGTGTGCCCAATTATCGAGGTATTCGTGCCGGTGTTCGTCTTTCCGTTCAAAACAAGGCGAGTGGGGGTCAATGTGTCAAACTGCGTTCGGTACCCCGGTTCCTGATAAGCTGTTTTAACCTCTGCTTTTTCCTCGTCAACAAAAATGTCGAAGCCACCCCTCGGCCGCTTGTCAAAGGTATTGACAGTGTAACCAAACTCGTCATCGTCGTCAGCATAAGAGTAAGTACGGTCTGCTGCGCGGCGCGAGCGGCGGGGAGACTTTTGTTCTTCTTTGACGTTCTCTTCTTCTTCCGTGTTCTTGCGGTCTTTGTCGGCTTTTTGTCGCCTTCTGTCCACAGCTCGGGGCACGTTGGGGTCGGCTTTAGCCAAATGAGTAGTCCTGGTACGAGTAAGGCCTCGCCTGGGAACTGGAGTTTCTCCTTTCAGTGGACTGTATTCCTCCACATTACCCGTGATCACACGCTCCTTCAACAAAGTTCCGTGTGGGGAAAAGACCAGTTCGGTTGGCTCCACGAGCGAAGAAGTAATTTCCATGTTCCTCAACACGGCACTATCCTTCTTCTGGTTGCGCCGACGACGCATCTGCACCGTGGCGGAATCAAAAATATCCATGCCTGGCCACAGAACTCCCTTCAGTCTTGCGATTTCTTCAGCCCGAGTCTTGTCCGTCTCGGCACCACCCGATGCCTGAGTCTGATCACCGGAGTCGATGAAAGGATCAGGGGTATTTTTCGCGGAAGTCCAGGTTCTTTCCAAGGGGCCCGGTTTACGTCGGCGCTGTATCGGTGTCACAGGCAAAGCCAATGATCGGATTTCGTTGCCGAGTCCAGAAGCATCCACTGCTTGCAATCCGTTTGACTTTGTGTCATTGGACGATCTCATTGAGCGGAGGACAGGGCCCGTTCGAGATTTCGCATTGTTGTTCGTTGTAGCCAATTGGTCTGGCATAGTTGGTGTGACGGTTGTATCCGCATGCTGCTGTTTGTTATTGTTGGAATCGGCTAGGCGGGGATCGAGGCAATCAGGGATGGGGGTGGTTGGAACCGAGACAGTGCTGGATCCCTCAGGCTCGACATTGGATTCTTGGCTTCTTGTGCGTTTGGCTGTCTGGGAAGTCAATGCTTCTTCCGACTTTCTCTTCTTCCGAATTTCTTTGCTGGCCATGCGAGCAGCCAGCTGCTTCGCAAAGCCATTGGCTTCAAACCAGTCATCGTAATGTTTGAGAAGCTCAATTGCGTTAGGATCGTCGGCACGGAGCTTGAGCTTGAAGTGGCTGGCTAGATGGGCCTTGGAGGCAGCATGGGTCAACAGGTGAGAAACATCGCTGAACTGGGGTTGCCCAGGACAGATGCTGCATAGGAGGACAGAGTCATCCATGATGCAAGCCCCACAGGAAGCAACAAAGTAATAGATTGAGATGTAAATGGAAAGGGCAAAACAACCAAAGTGTCAAATGCCAAGAAAGTGGGTGTGAATGAAGATGGTGAAGGAACGATGGAGGAAGATGGGTGTTATAAACACGTCAACAAGCCGGACGGCTCTGACTGTCTTCGTTATCAATCAGCTATTGACATCTGAGGAAGGAGCGTCCTCGGGTCGGTCACGGGGTGTCATTCAGCCCAAACAACTTTCATTCATCTTCATCATTATCTTTAGGTACACAATCCGTATACAATATGCAATGTGCATGTCCCACGATGTCTTAACAGCTCTTTGGCCATTGTAGGAGGATATGAAGCGGAATAAGTCAACGTGGTTATTATTCTCCTCCCGCATTGTATCCCATAGTCTATAGAGAAGAACGTTGGGTTATTAGATTGCGGGAGGGTTCATTATGGATGGATTGATCATTGATCCATCCATTAATCAACTGATCAATTACCCCGCAAGGCATTTGGTAGTGATTGACTTAGGCATGCAACTATTCATTCATGTTAGCAAATCACCCAATAGTGTGAATCATTATAGCTCACTAAACAGCATCTATTTCCTGGAGGCCATTGAATTTCAATAAACTCAGTCCTGCAAGGCTGAAGTGGGTGTGATACACATCCACCATATTTCCGGGTCGATCAGCAAAGCCACCGGCATCAGGGTCCTACATAGCGGTTAACAACAGATTCCACCACACACAATACGCAATTAACTGACCTGGCATTGTAGAACAAATGCGGCGAGCTTTTCACCATCGATCCAGTGCAGACGGTCAATCATGGCAAGGCTTGATCCAACCCACCAGCTATAGCACGCATCGGCAAGTTTTTCTGGTCGGCCATTGAAACCACCGCTTTCGATCTGGCGCTCGCTGAGCCAAGCCCCGAGTCGATCCTTGTTCACCAAGTCCAATCGACCAGCGATGGCCAACGCACCGATGCAAGTAAACACCTGGCCAGCGTGGGACTCGGCACCGGGGCGAATACCATAAGCTCCATCAAGATTTTCACAACTTTGAATGTGAGAAACGGCTTTGGGAACATCGACGAGGTCCATCAGACGCAATAGCGACAATGCATTTAGAGCACCATATAAAAACCGGGTATCTGTTTCGCCCCACTGGTCTCCCATGAAGGAGCCGTCTGCATTCTGTAATTTTGCAATGACTATGATGGCTTAGTAAATAATCATTGATAGTAGTGAATATGAGGGAATACGTACAAGACCCAACTTTCTCCTTGCCACCTCGGCCCCGTTTCTCGAGTTCATCGACAGCATCAATGGTGATGAGGATCTGAACGGCAGAGACGGTGTACAACATATGAGCATCATGACCTGGGGCAGCACCGAAGCCTCCATTATCATTTTGGCACGAAAGGACGAAGTCGATAGTCTGATCTCGAGGTAACGTATCCGGATGACCTAGAATATGGAGGGCTGTGAGACCCCAGTAGACACCATTTAGTCGTAGGTGCTCGGTCAGCCAATATTCCAGCTCATCTTTTCTCTATGTTGGTCAATTATCACCATTCACCCAACATTTTCTTTCAAGGAGCACGCACAGTGTCCAGGTTCTTGATGTAAGTGACATGCTTTGAGGTGTGTAGTTCAGAGTCTGCGGGGCTAACCCCAGCTCTACCAGGGCCCGATACTAAGGCCATGTCTTGGAACGATGGGGGTGGGTGATCAAAAGACGAGCACTGATTGGATAGGGATGTACAGGTTAGTAGATCGAAGATCTGAGAGCTTGTGAAACTATCGTTTTAGCACAAGGCGGTGAAGCTGCAAGCTAGATCATTTATGCACCCACTGATGCCATGCACAAATTGTAAATTGTGGCTTAACCTAAGAATACGGTTATGGGGTTTCCCGGACAATCTACCGGATAATTTATAGTCCGTAAACTCTCACGTGAGCACATCGATAATAGCACGTGCTTCGGCTAATTCCACGTTTATTTTATCAATTTGATAATAACCTTGGAATCCACCCTAGGCAAGCGCTAAAGGTTCTGTTACATTCTGCCATACTATTGTACTCGACATTTGATTGGGAGGGACTCAATGATACCCACTCAACTGTCCCGTGCACCACGCCAAAAGCACTGTCATCCCCGAGGCGCTAGTTTGACATCTCCAGCCATGTTTCAGATTGGATGGAACCTCAAGTGCAAAGATGCGAAAACGAGAGCGGTGTGCAAAAGAACCTTGGAAGAGCTGTATCAAGCAGAAAGGGGTGCTAGAAATAGTACATATAACATAATAGGCACTGTTCGCTATAGGGCTTTAGTATAAAACCCAATGTGAGCCGTTATACAGTATCCATATTAATTGTCTCTATATAATAGTTAGTGCCCCGGAATATTGTCAGTGTTGTAGCTCCGAGTCTTCCCATGTTATACAAAAGGGGGTTTTTTTGGCCAACAATGCACACCGTATCACAATTGTAGGCAATGGAAACTTTCTAAAATTGTCTCTAAAACAGGAATTCTCCACATGAGGCAGTTATCCATGGTGTGAGGTCTTTATCCGTAAGCGGGAATATGGGTTCCAAGGTTGGATCCGAGACCAGGCTAAATTAATTTATGAAAAAAAGTGGACGCGACAACTTCGGACACGGACATGTTTGTGCATTTATTTAGCTCTTACCCCTGATATATGGATATGTTGTAGGTTTCTGTTGAATACATCGATAAAAATAATTGTTGCTTGTTACCTTGGGTATTTCGTCTAGATCATGAACTATTACACATGTATATCTATAGAGATATACTATATCCAGGTGCATATGCGACCTGGGCATACCTAGGTAAACAACCACAAATACAACCATGGATCTTCCGGCAATGGAAATCAGGTACTGGTTTATTGTACTGTCACTGGTTCTCTGATCAACCAATGACAGACCACATCGACTGCAACGTAAGGCAACACATTCCGTGGCTCTGACCTACAAAAGTGGAGAGCTCCGATCATTCGTGTACTCCGTACGGAGTACAGCCCACTATAATCGTAGCAAGTACCTTTGGACGCGAATAGAATCTAATCCCGCAAAGCTCCAGTGTCTGAGAGTTTTTTTGGGGGTGATGCGAGCCAATGCCAATTGAGTAAGCCTGAATTGTTATCGGAAGTTGATGACGATGAACGTTTATGATCATTTACGAATATTTATGATGGTCGTCCACCGTCACACTCGGATCATCCACAGGTGTTCCTTGGGTCTACTAAAGTGACGTTTCGGCCTTCAGGGGGGGATCAGATAGGGAAATCCCTAAAAAAAAAAAAAAAGGATATTCCACTCTTTTTTGTCGTCTGTATCCATAGAAATCATCCAAATTATAGAATTATTTAGGTGCATAAGTAGGAAAAAGATATAGAATGTGGAACGGTTTCAAGTTCTCTAAAAAATCCCCCCAAAACAATATATTCCTAGGTATGATTTTTGATATGATCTAATAATTATGACTTCTATAATACTGGCGTGGCTTGTCTGATAGTCTCTACTCGGACTAGTGTACCGCTAAATCTATTAGGAGACACTTGGACTTTGGCGACTTTTTTTTTTGTTTACAATTTCAATTCTTCACCTTTCATAACCCTGACTCCTACATCATACATCATACACCATACCGTCTTCCAAATTGAATTATTTCATCGGTTGACCTTGATCCACCGCGACTCCTATCTCGCCCCCCTTCCGCCCTGCCGATCCCCGAACTTCGAAGCGCCTAAAAAGAGGGGGAAAGTGAACTTGCACTAAACAAGTCTCGATTTCACAAACCTGGAGACATCGGTGGGAACAAATTGAAACCCCATAACATGAGGAATTTGGTGAGTGATCAGCTGAATCAAGGAAACCCGTTCATTGTTTCTGCGATTCGTTCCTGGCCTTGTCTGTCAACAAAGAGTCGAGGTGTGGCTTCTTTTAACTCGGGGGCTCGCCTGCATATGTCACCTGCGGTCTCACCTCTTGTCTTTTATTATTTTATTATTTTTGGCTCTTCTGCTTCTCCTTTCACATGTCTCTGATTTCGCGCTGACCCTATAACTGGCGCTTTAGATCCCACGTCCTCGATACTTCGTTTGATCCATACTACTTTCGTCATTACACTTGACGTTTAGGTAGACAACATTACCTATCTCCCAGTACTACTCGGCTTTGAAAGTCGCTTCGCCCCCCACTACACGGTCAGACCTCGAGCATTGATACCCGTACGAGCCTCTCAGCCGCATAAGTGACTTGGCTTTCAGCGCTGACCAAGTACATACCTAGCAGCCCAAAGACCAATTCATATTCATCTGAAGCTGTGACGGGGTATAGAACCCACAAAATTTCAACCCCTCGAACCTTCACATTCATCCTAGACCGGGTCCAATTGCCGCCCAACATGTCAAACCGAACTTCAACAGTGCCCAACCTCGATCTGAGCTCGTGCAAGACTAAGTCGAAGAAAGAGAAGGTTTCATCGCCTGTGACGCCAGGTGACCACAGTTCAGATGGACCGACTCCCTTAACACCACGTTCGCCCAAGTCTGCATCAAGCTCTCCACTCTTCAAAGGTGCAACGATTCGCCCTGTCGTGCAAGACTCCGACACCAAGGCAACCAGCCCTATTCTCCCACTTTCTCCTGGCACAGGCCCCGCCGAGCCTACGACACCCGGTCTCACAGCCATTCCTCAACATTTCCCTTCTCCCAAAGACTCAAGGCATACGCGCGATGCCTCGAAGTCATTCTTTGGCAACCTCAAAGCACCGAAATCATCACACAAGTCACAACGTTCAGATAGCTCGGAGAACTCTACCGAACATCCCAAGAGCAGAGGCAGCTCTAGGGAACGGAAGACACCAATGGCTTCAAAACAATACGAGTCAACGCCTGACCTTCTAGGGACATTTGCCCGTGCGGAGGGAAACGAAAAGACTAGTGAGTTCCCCTCGCCAAATATATGGACAATATCTAACCGAATAATCTACAGATGGACTCTCAGGTCAGAATAGCTCGCAGCAAACGAGCACCAAGAAAGTCGCTACAGACCTAGAGTCCGCTGCACCGAAGAAAAACAAACAACGATTTGCAAACCTTTTGACCCGATCTCGCTCCATTCGAGTTGACGACTCGTCCGGACCCAGACCACCACGCCGACGCCCCTCTACTGGTCTGGCGAAACTCGAAGAGTTCAGCCAAGGCGCAACAACGACCGCGAATCCACCCCGTTGTGCGACCGCGACCGCGACTCCGACCACAACTGCGCGACCCGAACGCACCGTCCGGGGAGGTTTGCAGCCTCCTGAGCGTCAAGCTGATACCGTGTCTTTGCGAAAAGAACGTAGCCACGGTAACATTGTTGCATCGGGTTCGCTGAGTCAAGTTTCTGGCGCCGGAGCTACCATTTTCAACAATCTGAAGTCTTCATCAAGCGGCACTGCAGATCGTATTGGCAAGGCCGGAAAAGGATTCTTTAGCAAAATCACTCGCAGCGGCAGCACCAACGAGAGAGAAATGATCACTGATGATTCGTACACGTGTTCGGTGATCAACCTTCCGCTCATTGAGCAGGCCAGAAAGACCCGCATTGCGAAGAAGCTCGAAGACTGCCGAGACAAGACCGAGTTCTGGATGCCTGCCTTGCCATACCGCTCAATTGATTATCTTAACTTTAAGGGCTGTGAGGAAGAGGGCCTTTACCGCGTACCCGGTAGTGGCAGGGAGGTCAAGCACTGGCAACGACGATTTGACACAGAACTCGACATCGATCTCTTCGAAATCCCTGATCTTTACGACATTAATACGGTTGGATCCCTCTTCAAAGCTTGGCTTCGTGAGCTTCCGGATGAGCTTTTCCCCAAGGCAACACAAACGATGATTGCTATGAAGTGCGAAGGCGCCACCACTGCACCACAGCTACTCAAAGACGAGCTCTCCAAGTTACCACCATACCATTACTACCTCCTTTTCGCCATCACATGCCATCTCAACCTCCTTCACTCATACGTGGACCAGAACAAAATGGACTACCGCAACTTGTGCATTTGCTTCCAGCCCTGCATGAAGATCGACGCATTCTGCTTCCAATTCTTGGTATGTGACTGGAAGAACTGCTGGCAGGGATGCTGGACCGAGAAGGAATACCTTGAGATTGAGAAAAAGATGGACGAGCGCGACCTGCGGGTCTCAATAGAGCAAGAGGCCGCCAAGGCAAAAGAACGAGCCTCTGCCAGCCATGAACGCGCTATCTCGTCTTCCAGCAGCAGTGCTGGGGAAGAACGTCGGCAGCCTGCTCGCGAGCCAGCTCGCCCGGCGACCTCGACCTCACGTCCAGCACCCACTCGCCTAGAACCAGCTCGCCCAGCAACTGCTCGCACCCGAAAGGCTCCCCCGAAGAACATTGAGACGGCACACAACCGGAGCATCTCTCAGCTTCCCGAGCTTGGCCCACCGCTCTCTCCTATCAAAATCTAAATCCGACAAACGTCTTTCCTCACACAGAATTGTACCGGATGAAAACAGCTTTACGTTGTTATCCACCTTTTATGACCTGCTTCCAGTCTGGCTGGCCCGATTTCCGTTCTATCTGCAGGACCGGATAGGACTGGATAAGTTGTTCCAGAATGACATTCCCTTCCTCCATCACGACCACTTTCTCCTCTCCCATATCTCTGATAAGATACGTCGCTAGCCGTATGATTGTCGATATCCCCATCGCCGTTTGGTCTCAACCGCATATTGAGATCAGATGCCCCATCAATATTCCT